TCTAGCAATACACACCAAACTGAGCATGTGCAGATTGATTCCACATGAAATTTCTTATCAGGAGATAAGAGGGGACACTGGAAGATGAGGAGGATCAGAGAAGACAGGATCAAACAGCGTTTTTACACAATGCAGAGGATTAACCACTTAGGTTCCACAGTGAGTATAACAAGCATGCTTTACTGCATATACAGACTGATTTTACAGTTGTGGGTTTAGTAACACTTTAATCCTAGGGACTGTCCAAATACTAGTAGTTTACCAAACACGCTGTACAGTTGAAATGATGAGTTATCGGGCAGTAAGGGCCCTTTCACACTGATACGCTTTTGATGTACTTTTATGCAGCCTAAGGGCCCTTTCACACTGATGCACATTTGTTGCATTTCCATTAACTTGGAATGGAAGGCTCTTTATTGAAAAATTGCACCAAAGCTGCATCATACTGGACTTTTCATAGCACAGTCCTCCTGCAGTGTGAAGAGTTACATAGGATTTAATGGGGAAATGTTTTCATGAGCTTTTGTCGCCCTGTAAAAAAATGCAGCAAAAGCACACCAGTGTGAAAGAAGCTGAAAGGTTGAGAGGACTATTCTGACCTTCTAGTGCGTTTTCAGCTGGCCTGGGTAATGAATTTGTGCCTATAAGACAACCAGGTAAATCCATTTTCTGGGGGAAAAGGAGTGGAGTTTATCAGGCAGTCGACTGCCCCACATACATAAACAAAAATGCTTGGTAGACAGTTACGAATGTTTGCATGTGTGCCAACATTCTCATCCCATGGCTGGCCTAGGGCTCAAGCTTTCAGCCTATGACATTGCAATTTATTCGGTATAAGCATTTATTTTCTGAATTACGCTAAAAGTGATACCATGATGGTTTACTATAGTCATTATTTCCACATCCCCCCTAAAAAATTTTTATTACATGATTGGTTTGTAATTGGTTAAATCCCCCAACAGCTTGATGCCTTCCAGAGATTGGATAGTGTCAAGATCTCCCAAAATGGAACTCCAATTTCTGACTTCTCACACTGAAGCAGGAGGATACATAGGTGTCCATTTATCATGCAGTGGTAAATGACCGCTGCTCAGTTCTCTGGCATTCTCAGAGGAGACAGTTCTCCTCTGACTGCCTGTTTATGAAGCGGTTTAGATCACTTCTCCCTAATGAGAAGTGAAGCGATCTACAAACGCATTGAACTGTAGAAAATGGCTGCTATTATTGTAATGTCGTGAGATATAGCGAGATTACAGTAAGAGATATAGCGAGATTTCAGCAAAGGTCTCGATCGAAAGAGGAGATCGGGACCTTTCCATGAGTACCGAACGTGTGTGCTAGGAGCGCGCAGGGCTCACGCTCTCAACACATATGTCCTTTTTTAATAGAATGCAAATATGCGGCTGCAGGAAGAAGAAGAAAGTCCAAAAACATCCTCCTTCCTCCTCAGTTCTCCAGCGATTCACTCTTCTCTCCAGCGATTCACTCTTCTTCTCTTCTTCTCTCTGGGCTTGAGAATCTGGGAGGGAGAATTTTCACACAGATCGCCAGTGAAGGGCTGACATTGCTCCTTCAAAAACCTGCCATTTCTGTTTCTGTCAATGACAGATTGTCTGTGTGCTGAGATGATCAGCGGAGAACATGTTCTCTGCTGATCATCTCTGTTTCATAAACCACTAATGATCGGAGATCAGCAACAATCCTCAGGCCACTGATCTCAGTTTAACGGACACCATAGCTTGTAATATGATTGAAAAATTCAACAAGAAATATGGATTTGTTCAGAATTACCATATTACATATTAACATATTTACGTACAAACAACTTGACTGATAGGGTATAGTGACCCTTTAAATAACTATTCAGTTGCCACCAATGTCTGCAGTAGCCTTTTTCCTTGGCACACCTACCTACATACACTAAATAAACCACAGGTAGTTGTGGCCAGAAAAAAAAGAAACGTTACATAAGTAATTTAAGAGATCTTCAGCTAGCTAATATACATATATATATATATTATAGGAAAGTAGAGAAACAATGCACAAGTTATCTCCTCCTAATGTATTTAATGGTTCAAATTAGATATATTAAAAACATGTAGAATAATTGAGCCCTCCTTAAAATAACACAGGTATTGGGAATATTTTTATTCCCCTCCGTGTCTCTTTTTCAGTCAAGAAATTCAGTATGTTGTCTAAAAATGTAGAATAATCATGAACTATTGTATATGACATATACAGTTAATAGTATAGTTCAGTTACTTAATTCATGGATTTAAAAGGCCAGTCCTCCCTAAACTGACCTTCTAGGTTTTAAGATCTGTTTCATTTTAGCTGGTTTTGTATCTCTCTCTTGAACTGTTTCACATTTTTTATTACTGTTATATTATGGAGACTGGAACAAAGGAGCTAGAACACAAAAAAAGGTGGGTGTGAACACCCAAAACTCCCAGTTGGACAGAGTTGGATCTCACTGTTTATGTAGCCAAGACATAAGCAGATAGGGATTCGCACAGCTCACCAGGCTTCACTTAAAACTTAAATATCACTTTGAGTTGACTGATAAAAAGCAAACTAATTCCAGTATAACCTAGGATGTGTTTATTACCAATCTGGGTTTATTTGCTATTGGTAACAAGGTAGTATAATTATGACGTGTTAAATATAATAACACATAGCAACCAATCAGAAATCATCTTTGCTAGATATGATTATGTTAGAATTATTATTATTACTATTATTACTATTATACAGTATTTATATAGCGCCAAAGGGTTTGCTCAGCGCTGTACAATAGCAAGGGGGACAGAACATGAGACAAGACAGTAACAATACAATACACGAGGGGTTCGAGGGCCCTGCTCTTTCGAGCTTACAATCTAGGAGAATGAAATTTTAATGGTATAGATTCCTTCAGTTTGTACATAACTGCTCTTTGTACTGCCTAATGGAAAGAACTTAATGGATCATTCACACCATGTTTATTGAGCTGTGTTGATCTGCATAGATCAACAAAGGCTCAATGTGGGAGCACCTAGACCAGGGTTCTTCAAACTGCGGCCCTTTGCTAGCCTATATTCAGCCCTTGGGGCACTATTTCTCCCAATGATAAGAGGCACTATTCCTCCCACTGACACCAACAATGGGAGACTATTTCTTCCATTGATACCAATGATAGGGTTCTATGCCTCCCACTGACACCAATGATGGGGCACTACTCTTCCTTCTTCTGACCACCAACTCTGAGGCCATGTTCATTTTCACTGATGTTGGGCACAGGAAATTTTCTACCCCCACAGGACAATAAACTGGCCCTTTGTTTGAAAAGATTGGAGACCCCTGACCAGGGGCGGACTGACAACTCATGGGGCCCCCGGGCAATAGGGGATCATGGGGCCCTTGTGTCCTTGCCCAAACTCAAAAAAGCCCATGAAAAGGGTACCAGGGGCATCTCATGGGGCCCCCTACTGACCCCGGGCCCTCGGGCAGTGCCCGAGTTTCCAAATGGTCAGTCCGCCCCTGCCCCTGACCTAGACAATAATTGTTTTCTATGTACCCTGTTCACACCATAAATGTGCGATGGTGTTTGCTGTGTAAAAACGCAGAATATATGTATTTTAATGCAGCGCAACTCATTGCACCGCATGTCACCGCACTGCATCACAAGGTACAGTGGTGCATGGAGTTGAATGAAGTGTCATGTTGTTACACTTCATTAAAGTTTAAAAGATAAGTAAACAACACATCACACCACCCTCACACAATGCACACAGCACAAATGCGCTTTAGCGTGCAGGCCGGTATGAACAAGCCTAAGCAAAACGAACAACCTCCTGCGCTCAAGGTGGATGTTCCAGCAATGGAGAACTTTAGGTCTTCAACAACTTGGAACTGAGCAAGACTTGGCAGCCCCCTGAAGACTGAGGTAACCCAAAATAGCCTAATGCTGGTCATAAAAACAAAAAAAAACAGGAGCAACAAACATCTGGTGGTTTTGTTGTATACATTTTCTACCATGCTGAAAAATAAATAACAAAAAAAGAAATGCAACAAGCATTTCAATGAACGTAAAACAAAAACATTAATTGCCATGAGAAGTTGTGGTGGTTTGGGCTGTATCTTTATCCTTTTTTTTCAACAGCAGCCAAACCACCTTTAGGTAAAACAGAATAAACGCTTATTAAGACAGCAGTGGAAGAAATGACGGCAGTAAGGCGGATTCAAGTAACCCATAGCAACTATGTTTCATCAGTATAGTGGCGCAAGAACTGGGACAGATGATCTGATTGGTTACTAAGTACATTATATGGCACTCTGCACATTGTCACTAAAAAAATATTACTGTTCATATCCATTTGTGTGGGTGTAATTTTATCATCATCATCATCAAGAAAAAGATACATACTATTTAAAAATAGCATAATTTATTTGCTATCTTGATTGTGTGAAAATTCAAACAAAAAAGAGAAACATGATATCACCATCGAATTAACACTGACTATGCATACAAAAAAAAGCATTCCAAATCCAAATACAAATCATGCTTGCTCATCCAATAAATATAGTGCAAAAACAATTTGTCAAACAGGGCTGCAGCCTTGAAAACATGCTTCATTAAATGTTTCCACACAAAATAGGTGCCAACGAACCTTTGAGATAAGAAACAGCAGAAGGGTCTGTAGATCATGCAAATCCCAAACCCCATTTTATAAGAGAAGGGAGGAAAGATAAAGAACAGACTGTAACCCATCACTATATAAAAGAAATCAGTAACTGACTGTACAGGGACTGGGATGCAGTGCAGACAGGTAACCATTAAAAACAGTTAGCAGCTTTATTGAAAAAAAAATACATTCAGTTCAAGTGGGTATTAATTTTGGCACTCCCCATGCACAGCCAAGTCAAGAGAAGATCCATGCAGCGATTTCTTTTCAGCTTCCATAAAGTCCAAGATATGAAAGCCCACCACGTAGTCTTCAGAAGAGCAAGGACCCCATCCTTCAGTAGAGACCGAGGATCACAGCTCCCACGTCCTTAGATGGCCTCCTATCCTTCACCAAGAAGTTAATCATACTTTCAGATCTAATGAGCAAGTTGCACCCCAGGAAAAAAATGCCAAAGATTACGGTGAGCGAGAGGACACAGAGCACGGCTATCTGCACCACCCTAGTGATGAAGAGGCTCCTCTCATCAGGACTGAGGACCAAAGACCCACCACCATCGCTGGTGATGACAGCCCGGTACCATTGCAGCATCCCATCAAAGAGCCAAGACCCTGCGAAGAGTTGTTGTAAGCTCCTTGGTCCAGCACTGTCTGATTGAAGAAAGTCCCGTTCATCTCTGTAGGTCAGAATCTCAAAGTCAAAGCTGGATAAGTGGTGGCACAGCTCGTTAGGACAACACCCAAGACTTTGGGACCATCTCCAGTGTTCGATGATGACAAGCTGTAGAAGACTTTCTTCTTCTCATGCAAAAGGAACCAAGTGAGCTGTAGAAGACTTTCTTCTTCTCATGCAGAAGGAACCAAGTGAGCTGTAGAAGACTTTCTTCTTCTAGTGCAGAAGGACCCAAGTAAGCTGTAGAAGACTTTCTTCTTCTAGTGCCGAAGGACCCAAGTGAGCTGTAGAAGACTTTCTTCTTCTCGTGCAGAAGGACCCAAGTAAGCTGTAGAAGACTCTTCTTCTCATAAAGAAGGGACCAAACGAGCTGTAGAAGACGTTCTTCTTCTCATAAAGAAGGAACCAAACGAGCTGTAGAAGACGTTCTTCTTCTCATAAAGAAGGAACCAAGCGAGCTGTAGAAGACGTTCTTCTTCTCATACAGATGGAACCAAGTGAGTTGTAGAAGACGTTTTTCTTCTCATACAGATGGAACCAAGTGAGTTGTAGAAGACTTTCTTCTCATACAGATGGAACCAAGTGAGTTGTAGAAGACTTTCTTCTCATACAGAAGGATGGACCACCTTAGGCATTCGAAACGTCCTTTGCAAAGTCTTACTGTTTCTTCTCATCCCCCCAACTAAACTCCTCTATAGCAATTCGGTATGATCTGGAGGTGATTGTAAGCTGGATGGTCTTATATACTGCTGGGAGAAACCATTAGCCCAGCAGGCGTGGGGAGGTGCTGATGGACTGAAGTTGACACTTCAATCTTAGAAGAAGCTCTTCATGCTTCACAGTCCAACAAGCTGGATATGTCCTGGCTTCAGCAGAGGTGGGGGTGATCACAGGACTGATTTAACCCTTAGCTCACAAGAAAACCATCAGTAAGCGCTAGCTGTATCTCTGTAATATGATGGCGTATGTGTAGATCTATAGCATTACAGCAACAGTCCATTTCACGCCTAATAGACCGTAGCGCAGCATGCACAGGAACTTTGAAGTCATGGATGTGGCTCCTATACACGTGTAGTGTCATTGTGCAGAGCTGTGGCTGGCTTCCTGCACAATTCCTCCACTGCACAATCCGAGTTTCTCGTTTATTTGACATGTTTCGGATTTCTTCCTCGCAGAAATCAATAGGATGGGATGCTGCGCTGTGTAGATGACATTCAGAGCATCACACACACAGTAATTAAAGGAATCAGGCTGAAGGTTCAGCACATCAGGCTTGTTGTCTGTGTATTTATTGGGTATAACTAGCAATCAAATCTCAGACCTTTCACACAGGGGGGAGGACATTACTCTTCTTAATTGCACTGAAACTTCCTGCACATTGGCTGCAAGTGATGTTCCTTCCTCACATTGTGTGTAGTAATAGTCATCTTCATCCTTTCCCACATCATGATCCTTATACAGTAGGTGATTATAGTCTGTTGCAGCAACCATCAAAAGGAAAAAAAATGTGTTACATGAGCAATCTTTTCCTAGATGCAATCGTTTGGGTCACTTTTTTGCATTGCAAGTGTACAATCCAAACGCACACGTTCCTGCGTTACAAAATGGCTGTGTGTATAAGTGGGTGCTGCAGCGACCGTCGGCTGGAACCGAAAAGAATCAGCAAGGGAGAATGTCACCAGCACACCGAGGATCTCCAATATGGGTCCAAAAGTTTTAATGAACGATCACATAGTTACAGCAAGACAACGTTTCGGAGTCTTGCAGGACCCCTTCATCAGGTATGTGACCATCACATTGTCTCAGTCCACACCGTAACTACACTTTCAAACAAAGTGTAGTTAAAGTATTTGGTATTAAGGAATGCTTTTCTAGTAGTTCCAGCTCTCTTGATATCTGCCACCATACTGCCTTTGGGCATTTCTCTTTCTATAAGTTGTGTTTTGGTTACGGTGACAGCATCTGTTATTAAGCGATAAAAATTTGCTGGTATAACTCTACATCTGCCTCATTTTTTTCGTTTTTGTAATGTGACCATCATATGCCTGATGAAGGGGTCTTGCAAGACTCTGAAACGTTGCTTTGCTGTAACTATGTGATCGTTTGTTAAAACCTTTGGACCTATATTGGTGATCCTCGTGTGCTGGTGACATTCTCCCTTACTTTTTTGCATTGTGACACACAGCTCTGGAGCGAAGGTTATAGAAGTGAACATGTTTTCACAAAATATTTCATTAATGTAATACTATAGGTAATTTTTTGTTGGTGTTAAAATAAAAATAAAGATGTTATAATTTTTATATACACTCACTGGCCACTTTATTAGGTACGCCATGCTAGTGCCAAGAAAATCTCCCCTACACCATTACACCACCCCCACCAGCCTGAACCGTTGATGCAAGGGCAGGATGGATCCACGCTTTCATGTTGTTTGCACCAAATGCTGACACTACCATCTGAATGTCGCAGCAACTGGCCTTCCCATTCTCCTGATATCAACAAGGCATTTTCGTCCACACAACTGTTGCTCACTGGATATTTTCTCTTTTTTGGACCATTCACTGTAAACCCTAGAGATGGTTGTGTGTACAATTCCCAGCAGATCAGCAGTTTTGTAAATACTCATGCCAGCCTGTCTGGCACAAACAACCATGCCACGTTCAAAGTCACTTCAATCCCCTTTCTTCCCCTTTTTGATGCTCGGTTTGAACTTCAGTAAGTCGTCTTCACCACGTCTAGATGCCTAAATGCATTGTGTTGCTGCCATGTGATTGGCTGATTAGCAATTTGTGTTACCAAGGAATTGAACAGGTGTACCTAATAAAGTGACCGGTGAGTGTATATCTATGATATTGTACTGAGTGGTCCCTTACCTCCTCTATGGCTGTCCCCCACCAGTGCTGTCAGCTCCTTCTTTCTCCAGATCCTCCATTAGCAAGCCATGTGCCACAGGCGTGCTCCTGACCCGGGCTGTGTGCATCCATAGTCACACACAGTGCCTGTAAGCCATGCCTCTGCTCCCTCCTCACAGGAGTTTGACTGACAGCTGCAGGAGCGGGAAGGAGAGTGGTGCTGCAGCCAGAACAGTGCTGGATCAGTGAGAGGAGTCAGGTGTTTAGAGATGGAGGGGGGGGGAGTAGGATAGGTAATGAGGAGTTTTCACCTTAATGCAGAGAATACATTAAGGTAAGTATTTTGACTTTAGAACCACTTTAAATCATATCTAAACCCAAGATCATGAATTGATAGTACTGCACCTCACTGGTCCTTAGATGTGGTGGCTGTATTAGTCTTTTTTCACACTTTTTCCCATTATTTTAACCCTGTAGTCCTGCCAGCAACATGCTTTGTGCCACAGGGTGACCTGTCTTGAGCACCCTAGGAAAGGGAATGTGTTAGGACTACATAACACTGTGCCAGGGTTTTTTTTTTCTCAGAAAATAGGTGCATGAACTCAACCAGGACCCCCAACCCCCCCCCCCCCCCCTGCCCCCCACGCACCCTACAAAACGCATCAAATACTGGGTGTGGTCACACTACTGTTAGTGAAACAATATGGTGTGGGAGGCCATTTTCCAATAGCACTGCCCTTGTGATCTGCAGAAGGTGTCAGTGTAGTTAATGACACCCCAAATACAGGTCGCAAAGACAGTGCATGCACCTGATCACATGATACAAAAGTACCATAAGATCCGGGTGCAGTGTGTTGGGGTGAGATTTAAGTCCATTCAAAATGAATAGGCTGAAATCACACTGTACATAACTGCATGTGAATTGCACAGGAACCGCATAACATTCCTGTGCGATTCACATGCAGTTCCTCGTGTAAATGGGTCCTCAGGCATTTTTGAAAGCTGAAGATTTTAAAAGATGGAAAACAAGCTTTTGCAATTACATTAACATGGTAAAGCTTTTTTTTTACATGTTTTTGATGCTTTTTATAATACTTCATGTGTTTTTTCGTAAGAAAAGGAGACTAGATTTCATACACTCGTTTTACCTGATTTTTTTTTGTGTTTTTCATTGAAGTCATTGGAGCCAAAATCATGCTGCATCAGCACCAAAGTAGCATCTGCACCTTTTCCAAAAATGCACAGCATTGATATTACTGGTCACCATAAAGAATAATATGATTTCCACTGTTGCGTGGCGCTGCACAACAACAGCTGCATCAGATATTGCTCTCGTGTGAATGGGGGCTTAAGGTATTGTACACTTTCAGAAATCTTTGTTGTTTTCCCTTGGTAATAGTGTAGTTCTATTCCCTTTGTTGTTTGTTTGCCGTCCTTTGTAATGAAGGGCTCACAGGTTGTGGCTGCAGTTTGTAGTGTAATGGCTGTCCATGTATTCATTCACCTAGCTTGTCCTTATTCAATAAAGGGACAGGCAACTTCTTTTTTCAGGTTCCCAATCAATGCCTCACCCATTCCTATGTGTTGCAGGTCATGTATTAACGTGTGCAGTGCCATGTTTGAACACAAACAGAAATTGCTACCTTGTATGTTTTATTCCTGTTGGTCAATGCATCTGTTTTTGACTGATTCTCTGCTGCTATCTATTCTATAATAAAATTCTTTGTAAAAGAACACAAACAGAAATTGCACATCTTATTATTATTATAATACAAAATGTATATAGCGCCAACAGTTTGCTCAGCGCTTTACAATATAAGGGAGACAATACAATTACAATACATTTCAGTACAGAAGGAATATGAGGGCCCTGCTCTTGGAGTTTACAATCTAAAGGAAGGGGGAGGCGATACAAAAGGTGATAGATCTTATGCAGGTAAAAACACAAGGGGCACGTAGGAAGGTTTATAATGCCTGTTAAGGCTAAGTTCACCTTTTCTGAAAAAAAATTTTTCATATTTTTGCAGGGAAAAAAATTTGCATTCATTATTTCTTTTATCACACCCGCTGCAATATCAGGCACCTGCAGACACGGTCTCCAGCTTTCTTGCATTTGCCTCTATTGGAAAGCAGGAGGAAGCATCAATGAA